CGCCGAAGAGACCGGGCAGAGTTGACCTGTGTGGTTTTGACAGGCCCCAGAGGGCCCCATCAGGAGCACAGATGATATCATGCATGTAATTCGATATTCGTCTGCCCCCACGTACAGGTTGCCACAGCGCTGGTCTCTGGGGAGTCGCAGTGGACCAGTGTGAACATCTGAATACACGTCCTTGTTGAGATAGGGAAATAATACTGTCATCACGAGGGTCGAGGCAGGCCGAAGGGGCTCTACCAAGATCAACATCGCCTATGATACGTAGAAGTTGACCGTCACAACGACGATTGTCCCCAATCTCCCCGACACCCCAACCGTTAGAGAGTCGAACCAGAAAGAGTAGGCCGGAACCACTAGTCTTCTTGAAAACGAGCATTTCCTCGGGGTCTCGACCAGAACAGTGGAAAACCCGTTCAACCAGAGAACTGGTCAAAACCGGGCGGGCATAAGTCCACACGGAACGGAGTAGTTCGAGGGGAGCCTCTAAGCACTCGATTGAACGTAAAGTTAATATCGTCCGATCGCTGGAAGTAGCGACTTGGGTGATCATCTAAAAAATGTCGGTGAAACTTGAGAGGATGAATCCCTTCCACTGGGCAACGCAAAACGTCAATATGGCCGAAACAGTGTTTGCATGGTCAACTACAGGTGCTGGTGACAATACGGAAATCTTTAGGAAATTCTCGTTGATTTCTGTACACTTCCACCCGGATTAGTAGTTGACTTGTTTGATGGGGAAACTCCTGGAGCTCAGTAGCTGAGGAAAGCAATCAAATATTCCTACTCCAACACTGAGCATTCAGGGAGCCTCATGGCAACCCAACCACCTCGTTATCGACCTCTGCCGTCCATTGCAGTGCGGTGCCTAAAAGTGGTGAGACCAAAATTGGGAAAATATTCACGACTGTAAGGAAACTTCGAGGGGAATTTCGGTAAGATTCTCGGTGGGTTTTGTACACTCCTAACCCAAGTCGTGTGTGAACTCCCTAAAATACACCGACACGTATGCCAACGACACTGAATACCGACCGACCTCGTCACTTCGCCATGGGAGTTCATCGGCATTCCATAAGTGACTTTATTCACTACTTGATCGACTCGAGGGAGTTTTACATAATCATTTAACACAGTTCATCATATTCTGTTCAACATCGTTTTTGAGAGCTGTGAAGTTGCGAATCGACAGGTAGTTGATGAAGTAGTACTCTTCGTTTACACAGAAACTATGCTCGCTGGGCTTGGTTTCCCGTCAGATAGTAATGTAGTAGAATTATGGTACCACACTGGAGCACTTTCCGAACTCTGAGGATGTCTTATTCCACCAGGTTTGACGATAATGTCAATTTAATGATCAATCTCTACCACTCCCTCCAACTCAATACCATACACACTCAGGATTCACATCTTCCACAATAAACATGCAAAACGCGGCAACGCAGATCACTTGTGGTTATAAAAACAACTGATAATTATGTTTTCCAACACCGACCTCTCTCACTCACGATGAGGAGTTTTCTCCTGAAAAATAGCAGAAATCTAGACATCCGAAATTCGTACTAACACACTTTTCTCATCCTTGGTCCAATCCCGGTCATTCGAACCACTAGCAGGGGTTTGTTCTTGCGAGAACTTCCTCGCGAATATCGGGTGGAGCCGTTTGCTGGCCGCAGGGATTGAACTGAAGTCACTTACACTGAATAGGAAGGTCCTTCTAAACTCCCCCTACCTCCCAACAGCTGTCGAGGCTTCGCTATCCGCTCGCTTAGGAATCTACATTAACGGTGGGATCACACGCACAAGAGCCGGGTGGATGATATTACCACGGCCACTTTCTCCTCAGTGACGCCTCTCCAGGAGGCATCTGAAACGTGAAGAGCATACGGGTTGAGTATTGAAGGCGAAAGTGCGGAAGGAGTGGTATGGGGTTGGTTCAACTCACCACTTTGAGCATCCCAGTTGGAGGCCGTGGAGGAATAATCAGAACCTAAGAAAAGACATGCCGGAGAATTGAACCCTACACCTAATGAATGATACAACGAAACCCTACCGCTACACCATTTAGACTGGGAATCAGCACCATGATAATACCTGTCCTATTTCCCAGCAAGGCATCAGTAACTTCAGCCACCTACCATACATGTCATCCCAGACACATAATGAGTATACACAATCCCACCCGTTCTGCTGAGAGCGTACTCCTCTTCCTTTCAGCGTAGCTCGAGGGTCTCCTTCCAGAGGAAGGCGCGGGGACGGCATCGCCCGAGACCATCACTGGTGGTAGTGGAGGCCTCCCCGCCGCTGAATATAAGAAATATTTCGCACTTGTAGTGATAAGCCTATTCATTTCATCATGAAATGAATCGATCGATGTGACACTGAAATAAATTTTCATGCCAGTGTTACGGTGTAAAAAGAATTTTTTTCAACCCCTCTTCCTCAACTTACGCGTGACCGAAGCCCGCTCAACCTCCCGCCTCAAACTACGACTAAGGCTAGCCTAAAACGACAGCTTGATTTCCCTTTGTAAGAGGAGCTTACTCTGGTGGGCCGTCGGGCAGGAAGGCGAGAGCTTTTCCGGGCCTTACGGTCGGCACTTCTGCTGTGCCAATAGAGAACTCCAACACCGATTAATAACAGGAGAGTGAATAATATCCAACCTGAAGGGAGCTGCTGATGATGTGGCGAAAAGATGGTATGAGGTGACCTAAAAGCCCGTGAGCTTGGACTGTCGTTGTGTTAGCGGTGGGAATGAGGAATGCTGATGGTGCCGCGTTGGGCAACATTGAACAGAAATGGCCTCTGCGAGAACAGATGGAGAACAAAATACTTGAGTTGGTATAATCTGCATAGCACACGCCCCTTGCGGGGATATTCACATCTTGAAGCAGTGTGGGAAAATATGTACATGGTCATCTACGTGTGTTGGTGACAATATCAAAATTCTGCGGAAATTTTGGGAGTTTCTCATTGGTTTCTGTATTCGTCTGTAATCTCCTGAGGAGACTTTTGAGCTCAGTTGAGGAAAGCAGATATAAACCTCAACACAGTCTTGAGGTTAAAGTTGGAGACAGGAAGTTGGGGTAATGGAAAACCAAAAGCGCTCGCCTTTGTTTTGAAAATTCCACACCGTTTGCGCATGCGTGCGATATCAACCATACCACGCCTATCCCAACTCGTCTACGGTTGAGACGAACATTCGCTCAGAATTTTTCCTAGGTCAGGAATTCTTGTGGCCGAGGTAGCTGTTAGGATAGCCGTCAAATGCTAAGAGGTAATACTATAATACCCTTATCATACCTCTTTGTGAGACTGCTACTGGGGGTGTTCTTAATATAATATTTATACGGAAATATATATGCAATTTTCCAAACCTCGGTAGCCTTCTTGGATGTAGTAAAGCTGTGACCAGTGCATTTTGGTCGATACAATGTTTTACCCGAGTTCTCCACAGTCTACCAACTTTTCTGAAATTGAGATTTCTCCTGATGCTTTACCGACTGTTTTCGATGAATTACCCTCACTTTCAATGAGATAGTTGGTCATTCTAAAACATACTGACTGGTATTAATGACGTTAGTATTGGCTACGCTGGTGAGGATGTACTGGTGATGGGAAGGAAGCCTCTTCACGCCGTACCATCCAATGTAGGGAAATATGCACATGGTCGACCACATATGTTGGTGACCATATGAAAATTCTGAGGAAATTTTGGGAAATTATTGTTAATTCCTGTACATTTCCACCCGGATTAGTATATAAACTTCTATCATTAGTGAGGAAACTCACGAGCTTAGCTCAGGAAAGTGAACACGCATTCCAACGCTGGTACCAAGCCTATCAGTCCATGTGCAGTAGCACTAGAGAGGGGTTGCTTGAATGATAGTTTGATACGCCTGGGAGGGGGATTGGGCTTACGGGCAGTAATGTCCGACGTCTTGATAGGATAGCTCAGTCCTCACCGTGAAGTGATTGTGTCAAGATATACGTTTGGATGGCATAGCGGCCCCAGAAGGAGAAATTGATTGTGTCAAGACATGTGTTTGGATGGCATAGCGGCCCCAGAAGGAGAAATTGATTGTGTCAAGACATGTGTTTGGATGGCATAGCGGCCCCAGAAGGAGAAATTGATTGTGTCAAGACATGTGTTTGGATGGCATAGCGGCCCCAGAAGGAGAAATTGATTGTGTCAAGACATGTGTTTGGATGGCATAGCGGCCCCAGAAGGAGAAATTGATTGTGTCAAGACATGTGTTTGGATGGCATAGCGGCCCCAGAAGGAGAAATTGATTGTGTCAAGACATGTGTTTGGATGGCATAGCGGCCCCAGAAGGAGAAATTGATTGTGTCAAGACATGTGTTTGGATGGCATAGCGGCCCCAGAAGGAGAAATTGATTGTGTCAAGACATGTGTTTGGATGGCATAGCGGCCCCAGAAGGAGAAATTGATTGTGTCAAGACATGTGTTTGGATGGCATAGCGGCCCCAGAAGGAGAAATTGATTGTGTCAAGACATGTGTTTGGATGGCATAGCGGCCCCAGAAGGAGAAATTGATTGTGTCAAGACATGTGTTTGGATGGCATAGCGGCCCCAGAAGGAGAAATTGATTGTGTCAAGACATGTGTTTGGATGGCATAGCGGCCCCAGAAGGAGAAATTGATTGTGTCAAGACATGTGTTTGGATGGCATAGCGGCCCCAGAAGGAGAAATTGATTGTGTCAAGACATGTGTTTGGATGGCATAGCGGCCCCAGAAGGAGAAATTGATTGTGTCAAGACATGATCGGAGAAGTTGATTGTACTAGGGCATTTTTTTGCGATGGCATAGCCGCCCCTCTGCTCGACCAAACTCTGCCCGCAGCCCCAACTGCGGTAGTATCATACCACTCCAATCCGAAAGTGTCGGCAATCGAAAGATGAGTATTGATGGGATACTCATTTCATTCGAATATCACAAACGACGTCTAAATTAGGAGCATCCATTCCTTTCCTTGCTCAGCGTTTGTTATTCATGTCTCGCAGACAGGAGTTCCTCACTTATGAAGGCTTCCGACTGGACGGCCGTCGACCGAATGAGCTACGCCACCTCACGTTAAAGATCGGTGATGCTCCCAGCGCTGACGGCAGTGCTACTTACAACAGGTGAAAGGACGATTCTGAGTAGACTATATGCCTTGCTGAAATGACGACTACGATCGATTCTACATTCGATCGTCTCTCTCGAGAGCTCTTGAATAATGTTCGTCTCTATTTACCAACAGTAACGGGAGGTCGAGTGCTGATATATCGTGATGAAAGTTTAGTTGTGCGCTTAGTTGTTGCGGTAACTTGCATCGAACCTCCCAGAATAGTTCGCGCGTTACCAGTTTTATGCTACCACACCATTGTCAATTGTCGACGAATTAAAAATCGGTTGAGACTCGTATTCTGGCGCCTCTCAGGGTCTCACCAAAGTTGTAGCTCACGTATTCGGACCCCGTCCTCTGCAAGCTGCTTCAGTCGGTCGCGCAGCAGGAACTATGGCTCGACAAGGAGAGGCTATTGTCAATGTAATTAACGTGTTCTTCTCTGAAGTATTCAGGAGGGTCTCTATAGGTTGTATATCGTACCTCTTCTTTTGCTACTATCGACCGAAAGCGTCGAACCACAGGCGATCGTAACAGCACGGAGAGACAGTTGTGGCTCCAACGTATCATACAGGATGCAGTCCTAACTGAAATGTAATACCTAGATCGGGGAAACAGTGGATTCTGGGAGAAGTGAGTTTGAGCCAGAATTCTCTCTATTTCTTGGATATCCTGTATGGAGAAGTGAATTTGAGATTTTCACGATGAGGCTCGTGGTCTCCACGTTTTCTTATCTGTTCGACTGGTTGCTGTTGATAAACGTTTCACTGATGGATTGTATAGTATACACGTGGGTAATATTGTTTGCCTGAAACATATACCTCAACGCTAATCGGCGGCACTCATTGTGTCGAGTGGGACCTATTGTTCGCATGAGATCAGCTCCATCAGGTTCCCCAAATCCTGTATAGATGTTCATTTGACTATCCTACAGGAGGACGGTTCGGCACTTGCCGCTTGCGTCAATGCTGCAGCGGCGGCCTTGGTAGATGCTGGTATTCCTATAAAGGACATGTTCTCTGCTTGTAGTAGTGGGATGATGAGGAACTGTGAATATTATTATTGTTCCTACGCCGTTGGATAGAGCACGTGAATAGCTTTTGAAGGGTATATATGTGAGGAGCGTCACGCGCCACGAAATTATGATGGCTGTGAAGTTTCACGAGTTTCTGCGTATAAGAGATCAGGCTCTTTGGGATTACTAAGAGTTAGTTGCTCCTGTTGGGAGTTCTTCCTCGTGGAAATATGTCAGGCGGCTAGTCAATGTTCTGCGGAATTTTTCGCCCATCTATAATCGTCCTGCCTAAGTTAACTACGAGGTTGTTCAGGTACTGTGGGGCTGGTGAATAATCAGAAGCCAATCGTCGATCTTAACCATGCGGAGTCTGAGGGCTGCGGCGGCGCGGTTGTAACGGTTGCGGTGTATCAACGTCGGAAGGAGGTACTACTAGGGCGTGCGCATTGTGGAGTCAGTTTCCCCTGAGTATGCTGTTGTCAGTTGAATTACCTCTGCCTTGAAGGGAAGATAAATATCGAATCATTCGAGAGCGCGGCGAATCTCGCGATTGAGGGAGCTGTCACTGCTGTGAGAGCAATGAGGACATTTATACAGGAAGATGGTCTTGAGAAGTAGGCAATGGCTCTGAAATACGCTACTCGTGAAACGCTTCGCTCCGCTGTTGTTAGGTGTTCTAAGCTGGAGAGCTTATCGACTTCTCGCGAGAGTCATTAACGTTTCCTATTCGTATGGTGGTGATGTTGTGCTCAGTGGAGTTAATTGTCGGTGAAGTGTGGAAATTTTGGTATGAAAAATCATCCGCCGAAATATGTCAGTCCGGCGTCTTTGTGTCGATCGGAGACACCCACTAGAGTTTCCCCAACACCGTCTGGTCAGGAGCATACCGCACCTCGCTCACTTCTGAGCGCGCCTTGGCTGGACTTTGATTTTGATGGGGGAGAGGCTCAGGAGAAGGAGGACCCTTCTGAAGCGAGGATAGGGAGCAGCTCAGACGATGATCGATTTATGCAGAGTCAAGCGCTGGGTGGATCGGAGAACGCAACTGTTGAGTTTGGCACGGCGGAGTTTGAGGAGACGGCGTTTAATAATGAAGGAAGCGTAGGGAGGGAGGAGGCGCGACAGGAAGGGACGTGTGACAGTGAAATGAGACAATCACTGTCTACTGATTGGACGCAACAACAGGCTTCGAATACGCAAACTTGTTCGCCGATAAAAGCGTCACCTGTATCTGAGCCCTTGTTGAGTACTATATTATCGAGAGAAAGAAGTAGTGGAGAAGAGGAGGAGGATGTTATGAAGATAATTGACCAATTGGGATGTGAACTTGAGAAGGATGGTAGTGATGGGAATCGGGAGAAAATTGTATTGCGGTTGTTGCGTTTGACGCAGACTACGAGTGACTCTCATGAGGTTGTGAAGGCGGTGTTGACGGCGATAGCACAGACGGGAGTTTTTCAGGGGAGTGAGGAAGTGGAAAAACTGATGGAAAAAGTGAAAAATGCTATTGAGGGCGCGGCGGATCTCGAGAGGCTATGGGAAAAGGCGTTCAAGGTTGTGACTGCCGCACCTGTGGTGGTCTCAGTGGAGTTACCGTTCGCTGGGCATGCGTTACTACCGATACTGAGTGAAGGACATAGATTGAGTGAGCTGCATGTGTCGAGGGGGGAAGGGGAGTCTTTGGAAACTCGGAGGTATTCTCCGGAAATTGAGGAGAAAAAAAATGATAATTTTTGGGAAAAAATTCAGCATGGTTCGGAAGAGGAAATTATTGAAGTAGTGAAGGAATTGGCAGGGGAGAAGGAACGTGGGAAAAAAGAGAAAAAAATTGAGGAGGTTGTTGACGCTGTGGGTGTGTTGGGAGTTTTGAAAGCGATTCTTACAGTGGCACGATCAGCGTCACTGCGCCATGAAATTGCTGAAATCGCGGAGTTGTTGAGTGCGATACCCTTGCCAGAAAAAGGCGTCATCATTGAGGCGCCGGTGGCTGGATATCCTAAAGTGGTTGAAAAAGAATTAGAACGTTTTTTGCCGTGGTTCGCGCCGACTGAACTGAAGGGGAAGGAAGAATCTTTTGGGGAAAAACGTTGGAAAAAACGGGTTACAAAAACGTTGGGGTGTGGTAGAAAAAAACCGTCGATTTCCGATCCCTTGGTGAGTTGTGAAGATGAGGAAATGAAGAGTAGTTGCAAGGCTGCGGTGAAAAAGGTTATTCATGTTACATCTTGTGTAAAACGAGGAGATGACCACGTTATGGGACTTGGGAGATTAGCAGACATTCTTAAAGAGCGAAGAACTGCTCTTATAAGCTACGTTGAAATTGTTGCGAAAAAACAGGGTGAACTCCGCGATACGAGGCAAATACCCTATCCCTTCGTGGTACTGGATTTGCTATCAGAACCATCTTATCGAGGACCGCGTATGGCGTTGCCTCGGGCGGCGTGCTCGGTAGCTATGGAGTTAGTGAAATCGACTGGTCCGTTGGCTGCGGGGTTGATGATAAAACGCCTATTACCGTCTCTGGTGGGATTCCCAGCGGCTATTGCGGCACCGGTGATAACGGAAATTGCATGTATGGGGTCGGCCTCGGGAGTTTGGCAAGGCCTGGTAGCAGAGAAAGCAGGAGTTGAGATGATGGTTAGAGTTGGCTCGAGTATTATCGATGAAGTAAGGAATGAAGTGTTGGAGGAAAATGGGGATTTGCTTTTATTGGCTCAGGAATTTATACGGGAATTGGGGGGAAATTTTGTGAAATCAACAAAATTTTTTTTTCTTAAAAGTTGCATTACTTGTAATAAGTAGTTATTAATAATACTTTATTGGTCAACTTGCGATCTCCCGAAGTTGGAAGCATGAGAGTTTCACCACCCTAGTGATATGGTGAAAAACACTAGTGAAAAACATATTTCACGACTACTGCATATCACCGCGGATATCGCGTTTTTCACCGAGTATTACGCCACTTCACGTAAAACGGGTCGTGAAACTCCAGTGAGAACAATAGTAAAAACACTACTACTAGTACGGAAAGTTGTTATTTTTTGAGAGCTATTACGAGGACCCGTCGATAGCGTTTAGGTTTCATATTTTACGTATGTTAATTTCCAACAATTTTATATTCGGGTTGGGATCGCTTCCCTCAGTTAAGCTCCGTAGTTTATTCTCGAATTTTCAGAAATCAGCAAAATTTTGCCGAAATTTTGGCGAAATTTATATATTTTCGCCAACACGTAATCAACAGTGTCTATATTTTGCATCTAGTTTTGGTAAATTGTCTACTATGTTAATCGTTTCTCAGGTGCCGTCGGTTCGATCGTGGATGAGATGCCATGTTGTTAACGCTCTCGGAGTTCCGCCGAAAATTCGAAAAATGGCGCAAAAAATCCTGGACGGCGAGCAGGCCCCTACTCCTAAGAAAGGTCCCCCCTCCGGTAGTGTAGGGGAGGAGGGGGGCGTGGTGCTCTTGCCCATTGTAACAGCGACTAAGCCCAGCAGTGAGGCATGTGAGTTGAAGAAAGAAATGGAGGAACTGCGGAAGAGTTATGGAGAGCTGTATGAGGAGTATGTGAAGGTTTGTGGCCTGTTGGAGAAGTCGAATCGGGCGCAGCTGGAGCATGCTGCTGAGAGGGCGAGAACTGAGAAGGAGCTGTTGAGATGGCGGAGGAGTGGTAACGTTATGATGGCGTCGAGGAATTCCGCGGTTGTTGGTGTGGTTGAGCGAATGATGATGGTATTGGAAGAAGGCTCTTTGGGTGAGATAGCGCAGTGTTATGCGAAAGTGAGTGTGGCGAGGAGCGGTGGGGAAAAGGGACCAACTAGGGAGGAGCTGAAGATGATTTTCTTGGCGATGTTTCGGAAGGCCTGCGAGATTAGAGCGACGGAATTACTCGGATATGCATTGGGCGTTGCGGTTGGTGGTGATTTTCTGGAAACGGTGACGGTTTCGGAAGTGCAGGAAATCCTTCGCTGTGCGCTGAAGGGGATGGAGTTCGCCCCGAGGGAGGAAGGGCTGCGGTCGCTGTTGGTGCAGGTGTGTAGTGAAGTGCCGCAGGAGGTGCTGAAGGAGGGGTGGAGGAGGTTGGAAGCTACTTTTAAGTTTGGGGGGAAGTTAGTTGAAGTGGAGGAGAGAGTGAGGGAGTTGTTGAGTCGACTTAGTGGAGCATGATGTTGAAGAGTAATTAGAAAGGTGTGGTGCTGTTGTGTTGGTGGAAAAGTGGTATACATAGTTTATGAAGTGAATAAAACACCCAGTAAGGACCTGGGAATTTCAATGGTGAACGAACGTAGCAGATCGCAATACAGTAATACACCTTGTTGAACTTGAATGTATATTGTCTGTTGAGGGGACTGTAGAGAACTAACGATGAAAGGCCAGGTCGCGATTGACGTGTGAGATTGACCGGTGTCTAAGTAGGCCAATCTCGGGACAAACACGCAAAACCATACGGAAATACGACAATAACAAAACCATACGGAAATACGACAATAGCAAAACCATACGGAAATACGACAATAGCAAAACCATACGGAAATACGACAACAGCAAAACCATACGGAAATACGACAATAGCAAAACCATACGGAAATATGACAATAGCATAATCGAGTATCATCATCGTGTTGCCTCAACGATTCTGTGCTTTGATGAATCCGAGAGAATAAGGAGTGGCATTTCAGTTGTGTTCTCTGAGGGATGATATCAATGTGACGCTCAGCCATCAAGAATGTTGAGGGGGGACTCGATGGTCCTGATACGGTTCCCGACTGGGCTTCCCAAGGAGTAGGAAAAAGTAGGGAATTCTCAGTGATCTATTTGAGATGTGGTAATCACTTAAAAACTCCTTCGTGTAGAATACGGGTTAATATCGGTAGAGCAAAAGCATAGTATACTAATAACTCGATGCGTTGATGGTAGTCGAGGCTCATGATTTCATGAGTCTTCAATAACATCATCATTATCATGTTTGCATGAAGGATGTCGCCGAGTTCAGGCGCTTTCTACTGGAGACTCCGTCATTGGTGCGGCATGGAGGAAGGGAGGGTTAACGGCTGCTTTCCGGAATGTCTGAAAATGACCTTGAAAATGACCTGTTTGACATTTGGGTCACCTCGCGACGAGACATGTAGAACTTTCTGGTCCTCTTGCCCAATGGTAAAGCTTCCAGGCATGTGATTACCTTCTCGCGATAAGCTACCTGACGAGTAACAGCTATGAATGAAATCTATCATTTAGTGCTCACAGCAGCGACGCCTAGGGCGACTCCCATTAGGAGCATCCCGAGGAGAAGAATGATGTTGGTGACATCCAGAGCCACTCCTGAGCCACTGACCCTGATGAGCGATGCTAATAGGGTCGCTGTGGAAGTGCTGAACCTACCTTTCTTGCTGTGGAGCCTCTGTCTCTGAGGACGAGGGCTGGCTGAGGAGGGAAGACATGTGCTGGGCGAAATCGATGGGCACGGGGCGGTTCCCATTGACAGAGCCCTCAAGGACCGCCTGAATGGTACAAGTCTCGTCGAAACGGAGATGTAGAAGAGGGTGTACCAGCATTTGGTCGTCGATAGCATCCTCGGTCTTTTCGATGGCTTCCAGCAGAGAGTCAGTAGCGGCCATCTGAAAAAGAGGAAAGATAGGAGGGGTTAGTTGCGGTTGGACTCACAAGATGCTGTTGAGCTCCGTTGCTGCGTTTTATGGCAGCAAGAGTACCAAAAGTAGTGAAAATGAGCGTCAGATGAAACATAGTGGATTGAACTGTGTTTGCGATCAGAGTGGAGGAAGAAACAATTTTGCGCTTTTGCGTTGAGAAAAAGCAAGACTGCAAGATTATGCAAGATTAGTGATTTGAAAATTTCAACAGCTCTCGTGAAACTACGTTCGAAAACCATCAATGTTGTAGGGCGGAGGAAGAACACTTTCAAATGGAGAGATACGTCGGGGAGAGGAATTTAGGAAAGCAATTCATGGCAATTCTTCAGAGTGCAGTTTCTGCGGTTTCGCCCTAAGATTCCTTAAGATTCTCTAAGATGCTCTCCCGATTTCGCCATCCTGCCTTCTCCCGGAAGTATCTCCCAATTTGGGTCGGTTGGGTAATAGTTGTCCTCTTGTTTACCGCGGGGATCTTCTTCTTCCCGTATTCTGGGAGTAGCATGAGGCTCCTCATCTCCTTCGTCTACGTCTTCGCCCTACTGCTTCTACCACCTATCATCATATGTTGGTACGCTCGTCGCAAGGGCAGGCAGCAGCGAAGGAAACTTGGTATGGCTGATCCCAGCGAGTTTGGTCACGCATGGTCGAAGTGGTTGGAGACCAACACTTACGTTACCAGTGTGGATGAGGGAAGCTGTGCTATCTGTCTCTCCGACTTCCTCCCGGCTCAGCAAGTTCGAGGTCTACCATGCAAGCACTTGTTCCACGTACGATGCTTTGATGGTTGTTTTGTCACTAGCCTCCCTCCTATGGGACGATGCCACAAGTGTCCTTTGTGTCGTCGAGATTTGGGGCCTATGCTGGTCAGTTCTGAATCGGATGAGATTTCTGTGTTGTGAGGATTCTACGACTGATCAACTTGTAATCACGTTTCTGTTCGCGGATGTTTGTTTGCGACAAACATGTTGTTTTATCGAGGTTCCCACTCGTAGATATCTGCGGGGCTCGGTGAATCCTTTGTGTTATCGCTACTCTACCGTCCCCTCGTTGTATCTGTCATTCTCCTACGACGCTCTCGTGCAGTGGGTTAGTTTACTATATTAAAACGTTCCCTTGTATATTTGTCGTTATTATGTTTGCACATGTGGCCTCTCCGATAGAGCTATTGTATCGTTTATGGTTTCTTCGGCCTCGTCGTGTGACGTCTTGTGTCAGGGGGATATTTTAGTGATGTTTTTTTCTACGTAGTTAAATTTTCATCATGTCAACAAACAGCCAATCACGTAAGTTATGCTGTTCTAAAGTGTATCATTTCGTAGAACCCTCATTTTCCCGGAAGCGCTATCTCTTCTCATGGGGGGTCTACTTACTGCTGATAGTAACGTTCATATTGATGTGTGTGTTATGGCCGGTGGGACCTGGTGTGGCGGCAATGGTTAGAGCAGCAGTGCTCATTTGCTACGGTTGCTTTGTAACTATTTTGCCACCAGTGCTCATCGTTGTGGTCGCCTATGTGCTGGAGAAGAGTCACTCGGCAGACAAGAGGCGTGAGAAGTGCGAGAAGGCCTTTTTCGACGAGTGGTCCCTGTGGGTCTCCTCTGAGACGAAAATTGAGAAGCTGAGTGACGCTGATATCGAGGACTGTATGGAGAAAGGCGACAACAGTGGGTGTGTTATTTGCCTTGAGGACTTCGCTGTTAGTGATGACGTCAGAGTGCTTCCATGTGGTCATAAATTCCACGTCCAGTGCTTCGACTCGTGCTTCGATCGCCTGCCTTGCAATCCAGCCTTAGAGTTCCACCAGTGCCCACTGTGCCGCACTCAATTGGGTCCTAGTTTACCCAAACGTAACCTTACTGGTGGCATTTCTGATGATATTATTATTAACCGTACGTCCAGCGTATCGGAGGCTAGTACTACTGTTAGTGTTTAGAGTTGATGATAATTTTCGATCACTGATGTAGTACAGTGATGTTCAACAAACACCAGGGGGAGGGGTGAGCCGTTAGCTCTTCCCAGCGTAGTGTTTACCAGTTCCATCGTGGTGATTTGTAGTTCTCTGGGGGGACCAATTTGTTGCTGCTGTTCTTCTCCTTTGCAATTTTGTGGTACGGTGAGAAAGCCGTTGCACTTGTTAGTAGACTGGCATGCTGTATATTAGTGTCAATAGAATCTCCCTTGGGACGTCATAGTAGTAATAGTTAGATTCACGATGGTGTTGTAATTCTCTATATTCTGTTGCCCAGTGCTAGTGATTCATAACTTATCGACAGTTCTGCGCCGAAGCTGCTCTAGCGGTGCTTGAACGAGCCAGGTTCGGCTGAGTTCTTTTCTGGCCGTGGAAAAATAGATTTTTCGAGGTCATTTGGTGGAGTATCTCAGATGTCTCCACTGTTGGGTGTTTCTACTGTCTCGGTTGGTCGTAAGAAGACTATTGTTGGAGATCGCCGGGCATTGATTCTACCCTAGATTTGTATAGCACCGTGGAGTCGCTTCTGGCGGGTGTCGCTGTTCGTAATGCACTCAATGTTGTGTTGGATGGTATCTTGAGGTTGCCTAGGGAAGATTCAAAGTAGGTCCGCCTTGAGCATGGTGTAGTAGTTTTGGTTCATTGATGGCCTTATTTTCTTCATGTTGCCGGGGTTTGGTGAACCACCCTGGTTTCCAGCGACGGTACCGTTGTGCATGGATTTGGTGGGGAACTCTGTGCAGTATCGTCATAACGGTATTGATAATTTGGAGTATTCTCTCTGACAAACCAGCGGTGATGCTAGGCCTCACAGCCGGCTACAGTCTTGTAATCATCGTCGTTCCTGCGCTGGCCATACTGGGATATGCCAAAGCAAGTGAGGGCGATCGCATCAGAGAACGCGCCAATGATGCAGTTGAAGACAGTTTTGAAGCTGAATGGGTTGCCTGGGTCGACGAGTTCACCACAGTGTATCGGTTTACGGAGGAAAAGCGACTGGGAGCGTTGGAATTGGGATGGGAGGCTAGTTGTGCGATTTGTCTCAGTGAATATGAGGTTGATGATGAAATAAGGAGTTTACCATGTGAGCATGCTTTTCATATAGGGTGCTTCGGTGAGTGCTTTCATGGCCTACCAAGAGGGCGTAAAGCGGTTCAGCATCGATGTCCGCTATGTCGGGCTTGTCTGGGCCCTATGTTGCCTACTAGACGTATTGATGGTTCGTATGAGGTCGACTCACATGAGGTCCTTCGTGTCGTGGAGAGGGACGGATCTGATCAAGTGGTGGACTCTTGATGTGTGTGATGAAACGATACCACTGTATGTGATAAACTTGTTTTTCTAAGACCGATAGTTTTTTTCCCAATCTACTGCAATTTGTGAGGGCACCCCTTGCACGATCGCCACTACTACTATTATCACTATTGTCATCGTAATGATATATTTTCTTAGTTTTCTCATTGCTTTACTACGCGGCTATTATTACACACTTGTATTTTCAGTTCGTACGGCCGCTCAGATTCGCGGCATTCGGAAGGTGATCGTAGTGCTCGTAACTTTAGACTAGTTTGGAAGCGCATATCAATTTCAATAAGTTGCCAAATGTGTCTGTTATTAGGGTTGGATTATTTGATTACGCAGCTGAGCTCGGAAAATTGCTCACTAGTTATGAAAATTTGGGTAAAAGTGTACAGAAAATAACAAGAATTCCCTCAAAATTTCCTTAGAATTTCAATATTGCCGACAACGCATGGAGTTGACCAAGTGCATATTCGCTCACACTAGTATCAGGGACCCTTTTAGCTTTGACATATTACGCCCCACCTAGGTTTTGATAACACCGAAGAAAATGTTGCTAATGTGATGACGAGATTTACATGGGAAACTGATTGAAGAATGTGTTCCTAGCCATCCGTGGAAAATTCGTGATGAATTCCCCCGCCCGAGAACATTATAGGTTCGTGGATGATTTCAAGACTAGTATCAGAAAGCAAGCTCATTCAGATCTGTCTTTACTACCGTTCTGCATGGACCCAGAACCCCCACCACCCGAACGGCACACTGGCTGGCGCAAACTGTTGGCCCGCAGTTTCAGTCGAGGAGGATCTCTCAAACTGTGGCTAGCCTGGTTGGTCATCGTCATTGTATTGGGCGTCATACTGGGCTTATTTTGCCATGGTGCATTGCTGTGGTTATTAATCGCGGTATATGCTTCTATACTAGGCGTGGCAGTGCCGTGCTCTATTTTGGCATTTACTCGCTATGAGTTGATGTTGGAGTGGCACAAAGGACCTGATCGTAACGATGAGCTCAAGGAGTGGTTGTCTAAGAAAACTAATCGATATGAAGTTACTAGCGATGATTTAGAAGCAAACGCTCAGAGTAGTCATGGTTGTTGTTCTATCTGTCTGGCCGAGTACGACCCTGGAAACAAGATTCTCGAACTACCCTGTGGTCATCGTTTCCATGAAGAATGTTTTCGAGAGTGCTTCAAAGTGGCGAGTGGGCCTAGTGCGAGGAAATGCCCGATGTGTCGTACACAAGTGGGACCACGAAATGAGGAGGAGGACGTCCCAAAGGATCCGAGGAGGAATGCACAGCTCATGAGTATTTGGTGACACTACCGTGTGTTTAGTGACACCAGTCGGTATTTGGTGACACTACTGGGTTTTGATGCCACCATTGTGTATGACACATTATTCGATTATTTATTCGCAAATAATCAAATGTCCTCATTTCTTATTTGGTGACACTGTTGCATATTTGGTGACACTGTTGCATATTTGGTGACACTATGCGGTTGCTATCACCGAGTGGTGACGATTTACTATTGTCTTTCCTTCACGTTTCTCTCAAGCCTTCTGGTTCCTACTAATCGAGTTAGTATGACTCATATAACATTGCTACTACTCTCGTGCTTGTTGATAAGAAGATTATCGCTTTGTCTGTGACCAATATGGGGTTCTATGAAGTGAAGTTTCTCCGATCCTTACAGTGTATGTGCTTATTACCGTCTCTTGTTGTTGATTGAGAATTTGTGTCATTGGTGGTTACATGGATTCTTCTTATGGAGTTTTCACAGGCCAGGTTATGATTTTCGATCTGTTGGGGAAAAATTATTTTCACTTATTTTTTCAGATTCAAATGCAGTGCGAGGCTTCACACGTGCGTTAAAAGGTGGGTTTTTTACCAATATTTTTTTTCTTAACGAAAAACATTCTTGTGTTATTTCCCTGGTTGAACTTGTTATTCACGTAGTGGTTATTTAACCGTGTACGTGTCGTCGCCCTTGATGACGTCGAAGTTCTTTCTGGCCGTATGCATGGTGGTTTTGCTCACCACAGGAGCCTCTATCGCGGTTCTCTTCCTGGGCCCCGCATCTTACTGGTTACTGGTGGCCTTGGGTCTCTGCGGTGTTTGTTTACTCGTTATCGTGCTTATGATCATTTTGGTCAGCAACAGGAAGAATACGAAGAAGGCAACCGTATGTTATAAGAATATATATGGACGTTGCCCTTTTCCCCCTACTGAAACTAGTGCAGTCGATATATGTCCTATTTGTTTGGACGATTTTCATTCAGGCCAGCTTGTCGCTGTATTATTATCGTGTAAACATTTATTTCATGATAACTGTATGGATTCGTGGCTTCATGCTTCGGGCTCCGGCTTCGAATGCTCACAGAGTAGCTGCCCGGTTTGCCGAGTAGAGTTCCCTCACTGAGGAGAGGCGGTCTGCGCACGGCGAAGATTTAACGCATGCGTGCAAAAGTGGTAAAAGTGTATCATTTCGTATACCAGGCCAGAGAGCCTTGGCTTAAGTGGAATGACTCTAATTTTCTGCATGGTAACCGATTATTTTTCTCTATCGAAGTTTGTCCATCATCATCATTATCTTTAACCTTTCTTTATGTAGTGGCAGAAGTTTCATGACGTTTTATAGACTTTTCGCGGCAACTATTATTGGAGTTTCGTTTATTTTTGTAGTATTACAAATATGCAGTTTCACCCGTTTTACGCGAAGTGGCGTAAAACTGGGTGAAAAACTGATATTCGCGGTGATATGCAGTAGTAGTGAAATGAGTCTTACACTAGTGTTTTTCATATCACTAGGGTGAAACTTCAATGTGGATTTTCATATTCACGACTATTCTTCTCAGCTTTGCTCATTTATATGTACAAGTGTTGGAGTGTATGTTAGTTTTCTTCAGCTGATCTCAGGAGTTTACATTCGGATTTGTGGAGGAATCGCATTTTCCGAGATTTTCTTGCAACTTTTCGTACTGTAATAACTACAGTTGACTATGTGTTTATATAACACTGGAGTTTCACAACCCGTTTTACGTGAAGTGGCGTAGTACTCGGTGTAAAACGCGATATTCGCGGTGATATGCAGTAGTCGTGGAATATGATTTTTTCCATATCACTAGGGAGAAACTCCAATATTATAATATTCAGACCAACTCTACCATAAAAATGCAGCACTATTTTTGTTTTACTTTTCCCTGCATACTTCAGAGCATGTTCTTTATCTGGAATTGGTTCAGGCGATGACACTGTGCAGGTTTGGTGGAATTCTCAACGTTGAGTTGTTCAACATGCAATGTAGTATTTTTGGACGCGCGTTTTTTCCATTCTGCTCGTGTCAAGAAAAAATTGCGTGGGGAAAAATGCGCGTGTTTTCCACATTTTCCAATTCCGCATAGAGAGATAAAACGAATGGTATACACAATAAAGCACATGAAATTTTTCACACTTCGACTTTTCGATTATTTTCTATGGATGCTACTCGTGCAGGGAGAGTGGTAAACTTGTGATTTATGGTATACAGTGGAGTTTCACGACCGTGAAATGACAAACTTGGCGGAAAACAATGAAAATGTTCGAAGTAAACGCGTGTGTAGAACGCTTACTCACAGGTTAATTTATATGATCACTTTAATGTCCAGTTTGGCCGCAATTCTCGCATACACATTGGGAAGTATTCTCCTCGTTGCGATGGTAATTGCATGTATATACTCCTTCAAAAAAGGCGTTGCTCACTTCCGCGCAAGAGAGGACTTCGAGGAGTGGGCTGAGCGCAATACTAAGTCTGTTAAGTTGACTACAATGACTAAGGAATTTAAGGGGAGGTGCTGCGCGATTTGCCTCGATGAATTCAAGGAAGGAGATTTATTACGGCAATTACCTTGTGGTCACTGCTTACATGAGAAGTGCTTTCTCGACTGTTTTGAGAGGGACTCGGATGATGGTTCCGAGAGGCACATCCATAACTGTCCGCTGTGTCGTGAAGTGGTTGGTTCTAGCACATGGCAATATTAATTGTCGGGTGCCGGGATAGAACCTGCGACCTTTTGTGTTATATGATCGCACGCTGTTACTGTTTTCATTGTTACTCTATTATCATGTATTTAAGTCAGCTCAACCCTTCCTCATCATGAGGGCTAGTAGCAGCCCCGGTTTTGGAGTTGACCTCAACTTTATCGCTGAGCTTATATAAGTAGTCTTTCTCTCTACGGGTGATCACCAGGAGAAGTATTATTATGGCAAGTTGAGATTTGCACGTTTTTCATTGTTGGTGGAAACTCGTAGTTATGAAAGTTGCCGTTTTGTATGGTAGTGCTGTACATTAGTTTTGGTTACTTCGGCGTAATAGCTGAGTTGTTGTTGTGCGTGCAACATATTAATGATTAACCAAGTTGTTGTTGTATTCTACTATATCGGCCTATGAGCGTTTCTCCACAATTACGTCCCAGAGATTTGTTGTTAGTTTATGAATTCACGAGGGATAATATACGTATTAAAGAGCAAACATTGGAGTTTCACGACCGTGATGTGAAAAACCTATTTCACGACTACTGCATATCACCGCGAATTTCGCGTTTTTCACCGAGTACTACGCCACTTCACGTAAAACAGATGAAACTCCAATTAGTGAATCGGGATAAAGAGTCGACGCTTTTTATGTCAACCCAAAATCCAATTATTTGAATGAAAATAGGAGATCATTTTACGTAGTTTTTGCGGTATTCACATTTTGGTTGAGATCAGCTGAGCTCAAGAGTTCGCTCACTATTTCAAGAGGGTACTTTTGGGAGTAGATGTGTGTGAAAACGAAGAAAAATTGGTGATTCGTAGGAATTATGGTTGATTTGTGCAGGGAGTGTTGCTGAATATATGTTCGCTTTCCTCAGCTGAGTCACTAGCTTCCTCACTAATTATAGAAGTTTTCATTCGAATAGAAGTCTAGTTCCCAGTGAGAATTTTGTCAAAATTTAGTGAATTTTTCATATTGTCATCAACACATGTACTAGTTGACCATGTACATATGTTCTCACACTGCGCAGGCCCGTGTAGTGGGAGTAGTAACGGCACTGGGCTGAGCACCCAAAGTGGTGACACCAGTGTGTCACCGAAGGGGTTGATGACGAAGGTCCAGAGAGATTGGAGTCAATTACCGAACGTAGCGTGGTAAGTGGGCAAATTATTCCGGAAACGGAAAAACAGTGGGGAAAATAGTCCGAAGTGGAATTTTTTGTGGCTCTTTCTTTTTCGATGAAATTTTCTTATCTGGTTTCGATAATTTTAAAGCAATCCGAGTGGTAGTATTTTCTGTACAATATTGGCAGGAAAAAAACTATTTTTTTACCAAATATTTACCAAAAATTGTCATGCGCCGATCTGAGTTCGTTGTCGGTCGAATCAAGGAAAAAATTTGATAATGAATTTCAGATTGATATGAAAAATAGTAAAGGGTACCACACGAAATTGAATATTTAGATTGCGCGCGGCATAGTCTTTGGTAGAAGTGTTCGACCAGAGACCCATCCAGTTTTGGGAAATGACGTCCACCTGGGTTTGATAACAATGGGGAAATGTTGCTAATGTGATGATGACATTTACATGGGAAGCTGATTGAAGAATGTGTTCCTAGCCATCCGTTGTAAAATTCAAAATGAGTCCCCCCAGGTACATTTTGAAGTCGTACAGTACGAGTATGGTGAAAACGTGAAACATATAATTCATGACAAAATACGCTGATTAAATTTCAATTTTCGAATACCGCATTTGGCTCAACATTCGACAATTTTATTGATGAGGGTGTATGCGATATTGGAAAATGTGTACTGTTACTGGGAGTATTCGAGGATATGTTGGTATTAAAAATCGAGAAAAAAAATTAAAAGTAAAATTGTATTTTTCATGCAAGTGCTGAAGACTACTGCATCGCGAGGGAAAACCCCTAAAGGGATTTACTCGGAAACTTCGTGTCAGTGTTTTGTTATTATGAATTCTGGATGATATGGCATCGGCTGCACACATGCGGATTGAAAAATATGCGAACGAGTGGTTGAAATAAGTGTGGGAAAATAAGAAATATACGACAAAAAATGGAAATTCTGAGAAAATTTTGGGAAATTTTTGCACAACATGTGTAAGTTTCCATAATAAGGGAGCTCTTTAGCTCAGCTAAGGAAAGTAGACATATATTGCAACACAGTGGTTAGAATAGAATTCTTTGTTTGATTCTGTATGAGAACTCTTTCCTCTCCTATTTCATGCAAGGTTAGTCGCTCGTCGTCGTCGTCATCGTCGGAGTATAAATTTCAAGAGTAAGTTTGGTTTTTCATGGTTTTAACGTTTTACTACTTCCTAGCAATTCGAGTGTAACCAACGCAGTAGATAGAACTGGAAATGGTGGAGGAAAAATATGTTTCAGCAATACGCAACATATTCACGAGTAGGAGAGGACACCTCAGGGACAGGACGCTATTCATCTATAGCTTCAAAAATAGATGTAACAATCGGGACAATAGTAACACAATTCTTTACACGGGGAGATAATTGTCGAGAAACGGTCTGTTGATTCACTGGAGATGCATGCATAAAAACATGTACTACAGCTTTATGCGTAGAGTAGTACGCGAATCTCCTGTGTGAGGGATGGCTAGTAGGAGCTGGCTTCATCCGGCGTTTTGCATTTTGGGTCCGTCGGACTCTGGTGGGTTTTTAGTGGGTAGGGCTATGCGAGCCCCACAGTATCTTTTCGACGACCACACCTCTTGAGACTCTCCATTAAAGGAATGTTTCCCCCCACAGGCTGGTGAATGCGTAGAAAAAAAAACTACGCGTAAAGTGCAGATTGATTGATTGACGAAAAGACGCTAGTGGAAATCGCCATTTAGTGTAAAACGCGTAAGCTCGCGAAATTCGTGAAATGCAAAGTGAAAAACCCGGTCTTTACAGCGCATGTGAGTAGGATTGCTGAAACGTCATTGGGTTCTCCGAAGTGCAGGAGACCATGTCGCATCGTTATTAATTTGGATTCTCTTTACGAGGAGCAGGCTGAAATTGGAGTAGTATGTTTATCAAAGGAAGAAATTTTCGATGCGCCTGAGCTGAGCTGAAGAAACCAACTATATATTCCTTCCGAGGCTAACCTGCTGAATTCATTTTTAAAACTCTGAGAATAATGTGATTTCAGAATCGAAATGGAATTTCAAAATTCATATGAGTGCAAAATAGCAGTACGAGTCGTCCGTAATTTTCAATTTTTCCGACGTTTTTGTTAGCCGCAGCGTTTTCCGATCAGGCCGATATTGTTTCTCGATTGCGACGATACTTTATATTGGAGGGACCAGCGATAGGTGGCTCGTTTGCTGACACAAAATATAGGAAAATATATTCAGAAAAAGTAAGGTGCCGTCACTGGGATTCGAACTGGCGACCTTTCGGTTACTCATTCAGCTTCGGTCTGGACTCCTCTGAGGGCTATTCTCTCTATTCTAAACACGGCACGTGCATCAAGGGACTCATTGAGGAAGGATATATCGCCAGATATGATCATGCGGAAGTAAATGACAGGCAGGGAACTTACGCTCCGCTGAATTTTCGTCAGTGTTGAAGGAATATATGTTTGCTTTTCTCAGCCGAGTTCAGGAGTTTCCTCACTACTTATAGAGGTTTATATATGAATTCGGGTAGAAATGTAGAGAAACCAATGAGAGTTTTTCAAGATTACGTCCCAGAATTTTCATATGGTCACCAACAAATGTTGCTGACCATGTGCATATTCCCCCCTCCCCCCACACTGATTTTCGCAATCAGATTGCGCGATACTTCAACGAAACGCATGCCATCAATGAGCTCCGAGACCTCATCCCTCCGGACACGGCGGTTAGACAAATGATCGATCGCATTGGTAAGTGCGTTGCAATTGATCTGTGTTCTAATGCGGAATTTTTTTATACAATTTGGGTGTCGAAGTAAAATCCAAGGCAGTGTATTGAGTGAACCAACTCACCCTTGTGCTCATCGTATGAAGAGTTGGCGTCCAGCAGCGTCTTGTCTGGGAAATGTTGCGCAAGCTCGCTGACGAAAGGCGGCGATTTGTGAATTAATACTAGTACGCCCTTCCACAAATTCTTAGCATATCTATATTTTTTAACCTCAACGAGTACCATCTTACGGCTCAGGGAGGTATGCTCTTATACTCCACGTGATGTAGCCTCCAAGTTTGAGGGCCTAACTCTTCGTAGTTAATGAGAAGTGATAAGAAATTTTATCCACAAATTCTTAGCATACACGTGTTAAAATCGCGCCTCGAAATAATACTAACTTTTACTGGGGAATTATATCTACGACTTCGACGCGCTTAATCTCATGCTAATACATCAACAGAAAGAGGATCTTCCGTAAAGGTGTCCCTCTGTAATTTCAGCCCCCTATTTGTAGTATATTAGTGAGTGTAGTATAATCAGCTCCTACTCTGCGTGAACTCTCCAATCTACTCTTTCGTAGCCTCCCATTGATAGGCGTAGGATTGATATTCACCCGAGACCTTGGGAAACACCTGCTAAATAGCTTAATTTTATTTCATAGCTTTTGAGGCTGTCCTATATCTGTTAAAAATTCCAATGTAAAAAAGGGCAACGAAAAGTAGAGAAGAGAGGTTGTGTATGCGTGCAAGTGTGAAGATAACATTGCTAGTGTTGTGTGTGGATGCACAATACAGATTACACTATCTCGTAGCATCATTATAGTAAATCCTGTAACACTTGGTTATTATGTATATTCAGTTGGAAAATATGTACATTCATAGTACTACCAGCAAATCGAAAGTTTCCTGCAGAAATCGCGTGGCGATAGAGTTCCCCGTATGAAATAATTTGTATTCACTTTTCACTGATTTAGTTATGCCTCTCGAATACTATAGAATTTATATTACTTTTCTAACGTGACTAGCTTCGGTACTCACACTAGCGCGTTGTTCAGATGTCTCCACATGGGTTCTCACAGTCGGGCCAATGCAACACTGTTCACGATGTCTCGAATATCTGGGCATCGATGATCTCCTCCCGAATGTTATTGATACTGCAATGTGCAACTTCGAGACGAAAAGGAATGCCACTTGTTATCGTAAGCCTTTCGATAGGGAACAGAAGTCTTGAGAGATAATCGCAAGTCGATAATACCGACTCGATGCTTGAGTATCCTCGCTCTTATTCCTGTGATGATAATAGGAGTAGTGAAAAGAGTATCAGTGCGGCTTCACGTAGTATGCTGACTTCCTTCGCCAATTAGCTGGACAGTCTCAAGCAGATGCACTAGAAGTGATATTCTTATTAATATGCACATCTACCAAACGCTCGGATCTCGTGAACCTTGGGAAGAGAGTGAGAGATCCCGAGAGGTGATATGAGTGCACCAGGCACTGAACTTTAGACATAGGCTTGATAGTAGTAGGCTTGAATAGAATTGTGCATGCTGAAGTGTTTCTATTGATATCGAATTAAACAATAGGGGACACTACCGAAAAGCTGATGAAGTTGACATTGCTGTTTTTCTCAGGCATTGCTATGGAGATCGCTGACGTTACTGACCCATCGACTTGCATTTTGGTGGACGACTCCCCTGCAAATTTGGAGGCGGCCAAGCAGGTTGGATGGCGCACAGTTGTGGTCAATCCAAATGACACGTTGCAAGGTAAGTCGTGGAACAAAATTCTTTCCTTGTCGTCGTGGTGACGCTCATCCTAGGTCCGTTTCCAGGAGTGGATTTCATCATCGACAATATCACACTCCTCCCCACCGTTATTCCCGAATGTTTCAATTCTGCTGCTGAGAAATCGGACGTCTCCTCGGATGACGAGATTATCTCAGTTTCGATAAATCTATATACAGGAAAACGTTCGAGGCACATCGAAAGTGTCGACACGGCGGTAAGAGAGATTCGAGCTTCCGTTGATAGATGTGATTTTGGTGATTTTTTCAGCCAAGTGAGTCGCAGTTTGGCTCTTTCGCAAGTGACATTGCTTGCGACGACTAATCTCGATGGCAGCCGGTTATGATTATTAAATGATGCAGCTACTCGAAGTAGTTTCATCATTTAGCATTTTACTGCAATAAAAAGATGCAGCTACTTTTCATTCCTGGTCGATTTTCTATTCATGTGAAGTTTACGGAGGACAAACATCGTCTCTCATCTTCACGTTCTGTGCACAGACGGGTCTTCATGGCCTTGTCTGTTAGTATCGATATTGAATTATTCGTAGTTGAAACACCTTTGATCTCGAGATGACCATTGTGTCATCTCTAAGTTATCATTTTGACCGTTGAATGTTAGTAGTCATATAATGATAGAAGGCGCTGTGTTGTAGTATAATAAATATGAGGTCACTTCCTGTGAAAAGTAATGTAATACAAGACGTGTTGAACTAACCAAGCGTATATTGGAGGCAGAATTGCGAATAAGGAGTGAATGTTGAAGTAAGTGGTATATGAACAATCAGTTGGTGAGTTGAGTTATGATAAGGATACATAACATCAACAGAAACCGTGACCTGGATAAGCTATAACTTTATTTCTGGAGACAAAGCACGTAGCGAAATTCATTCAGGTTGTATAGCTCAATCCAGATATGTGCAATGGAGGGTATATTTGCTGAGTTCATAGTCACAGACTTACTAGGCGAAGACGAAATTCCAACAAAGATGGTTTTAGGGCGCGGGCGTAAATTGGTGCGCGAACGAAGTTTCGACGTCTGCCTCGGTCACCTCGAGTAGCAGCAGTGAATGCGCTCAACATTTCCGTGGGCATGGGTCCCACGGCACTGTCGCGACGACATAACCGTGCGGCCCACACGGTGCGGGAAAATTCGAAAGAGTGACGTTGCATAACTTACTTGAAAAAGAGTGGACGGGACCGCCTCGAAGATTATCGACGGCACAGAACGTTGCATGCTGCTAGGCGTGCGCACGGTGTAGGGAAGATTCGTATAAAGCAGGAGGTATCATTTGTTGTTTCTCAATCCGTGTAGTATACGCAAATACGAAAGTTCGAGTCAAAGGTCGCGCAAGTTCCATGTTGCTCTTATTTATCTCATGCTATGTCTTTCCAGCGAGCCAGGCATCTCATGATGTTCCGTTATGATACTCAGCGCGCGATACACAGGACTCGTACTAGAGCTGAACTTGCAAAATTCTCTGGGCCAGGGTATCATAGTGGTGCCACCACAGTGGTGGTGCCCGTATTCGACGATCTGTACTTGGTGAACACTCACCATCCCATCGTGAGAACTAAGATCTGGTTTTTGCCAGCGAACACTGACAACATCCCAGCAATTCCAATGCTTGAAGTGAACTACTACATAAAGCATAAACGGTCGAGAGAGTTATGTCGTTCAGGTCTCTAATACTGGGTTTATCAATTTACTGGTCGTGAGGAAAGTCACAATCACCATCATTATCTCTGGCAGGTCACCTTTCAAAGGTCATTTTTGAAAGGTCATCTTTGGTATTGCAGTTGGAAAATGTACGGAAGATATTCTTGCCGGCGATCTTTTTGTAGCATTATCGCGCTAGAACAGGTCGCTTTTCGAGAGCGTCTCTGCGTATCCCGAGTCTCCCTCCACTGAGAGAATGGTGCTCACGGAGCCCGTTCTTAGTCGTCTCCCATTACAAACAAATTGTTTGTAATGAAACGATGATTGTCGATGGATGGCCGATGATGGTTGTTTGAAACAATCATCATGTACTATTAGTTAATTCTACATTCCAACCCCAAGAGATTTATTGTAGTGCGTCGTACCAAAAGTCCGCCAACGATTATTTCGTTCAACCATACCAGTAATCCGGAAAAGAGTGTTGTAGTGCATCACACTCGTAGTTCGGTTAGCGCTATAAGCGGACTCAAGTTGACAAACTCAAACCTATCGAATGAGTCGTGATAGATACTATATAGTATCAGAACATTCACTAGGGGGCATAGCCGAAGTAGGGGAAGTCTCGGACACCAGAAAGTCTTTATGCTCGGACAACAATCTCCGCAAATGGAAAATTGTCTCTTCCTTTTCTTCGACCTGTGAGAGTGAAAGTGAATTCCACTTCGAAGTGCTGATGCACTCACGTGCATAGTGAGTTCTTGTGCAATCCGCTGAAGCTCATGGATCTTCTTAGTCGCGGAGTCGCGATCAGGGGTGTGCCCTGTAGCTCGCGCCAAGAGACCGTAAATGCCGCTGGAAGAACCTTCAATGAAATTAGCCGCGAAAGGCACATTTCCACGAATCAACTACTCCGTCGTCTCCGCGAACGTCTCGGCGTGAGGGGAGTGAATCCACTATGTACATCACTCTCGGTCGGCGAACGACCATGCTCTCTCACGCACGGTGAAGACGCCGTCTAGATATCGCCTTACTACGAGTACATGTCTGAAGGGCTCACCTGTGATAGTGGGCTTTCGCTTTCGATGATGGATGCTGGCCGAGCAAAATCAAGTAATTGGTTGTTCAAGTCAGCGCTAAGATCTCGGGCGCCTACTAGATCGAGTTTTAGTCGTTCAACTATGCTCTCTGATGATCGACGACCAGCCTTGAGCTCCTCATTCTCCGCTTCGAGCATTGATACCCGTTCATTCAGCCCAGACACCTCATCGTTTGCGGGATTTTGCCAAGCAAAACTCGACTGGTGCTGCACAGACTGATCGCACATAGCGTTCTCGTCTGTATTTCTTGCCACAGTGGTGTTGCCTTGCTGAAGATCCCGGTGCTCATCGTGAATCCTTCCGCTCACACCCAAGCTATGAGCTGGCGATTCAAGCCTCATCAGCAAATCACGCTCTCGTCGATAGAATAGGGCCAGCAAATCTTCGAAATGCATCATAGATTCTTCGCAGTGCGTACAACGTACGTCTTCCTTTAGAGCTGAATAAATTGCAAAGTTCGACATGAGTTGGACCAATTCCTCTCGGAGGCTCTCGTGCTCCTCGCACAGCGCCTTTTTCTCCTCTTCGATTTCTATAAGCCGGATTTTGTAGTCCGCAACAGTCTCATCAGCATGAGCGACTTTCAGCCGCAAAATCTCCTTCGCGCCCAGGTTTTCCGCCATTCTTTCACATTTTCCAACGGACTCTTTCAACCGCTTTTCGAGTTGCTCCTTCTCAACCAACCACTTCTCTTTCTCGCGCTCCAAAGCATGAGCTCGCTCTACGATCTTCATTATTTGCGTGTCCATGACGAGTCGATCCCTCTTCATCGCTTCGATCGTTGCCACTACTGAGGTAGTGTATATGGGTTCCTACGAATCCTAATGAGACTGCGGCCGTTTTCACCCAAACTTGGGGTCCCAAAGCAGGGGAGAGCATACCCGTTTGGCAATTCGACATTTCAGCTGGGCGTTTTCTGTCTCTATAGCGGTCACTGTAGCTCTTAGTGTTTCGAGCTCCTCTTCTCGAGCACGTCGATGCAGTCTTTCATCTTCCAGCTGAACAGAATTCTCGATGAACACCCCCACAGTAGTCATACCGGGTATGACATACCCCGTACGGATGAATCTTCTTCGAGTTGTTCGACGAACCGATCCCGAGATTAGGAAGATCTAGCTAATCCCGAGATTAGGAAGATCTAGCTAATCCCGAGATTAGGAATCAGTTCTCGTAGAGGGAAATAAATCCGAGAATGATTCTCGACAATCCCTAAAATCGAAGCCGATTATCGGCTTCAATTTAAAGTCATTTTAAATCCACTGAAATTGGAGAAAAAGATATGCAGTTTTTTTTCCGAGGTTGAACCTCGGAAGTTCAACTGGTAAGAGGAGGAATTGACCAGCGGCTTTTGTACCAGCGGAGATTCCCCATGCAAGTGAATAACGACAGGACTCGAATCCGAAGATCAACTCACTCTTCGTTCAACGTCTTCTATTTTCTTTCGGTGCTCTTCCACTATAGTCTCCAGTCCGTAAGTGAACCTAGTCATGCTGGAGTCGAACAGTTAAACTAACAGCAACTGAATATCAAATAGGGGCACTACAGCTCAGTATCACTGAGTCATCAAGCCAAGTTCCCAAAGGACCGTATTCATCGTCAAGTTGTTCGATCTACGAGTAAATTTCGTTAATCATGCGAGGAATACACGTCAGTTTTACTGACCTAGAAGATTCCTACGCTGAGGTTCCTCACCTAGACGCTGTTGAACCCTTGAGATGGAATTTAAGCTCTAGGAAGCAACTTGAATGAATTTTTTCTGGCGTCCGCATCGCTGAAGTTGATTAATCTCACCGTAATTGCGAGGCGTTATCGCCGTATGGCACCATTGAGGCCACTAATGCTGCTACCTGAAGTAGCAAACATCATTCGGCAATGCCCATTGGGAGAGTCTTGCTCACTTCTCGAGATGCGTTTTTCCGTCTGCTATTAATAGCCTCCCTCATTTGCTGTAACTAAGGTTCGGCGAGCTCGATCAAAAATATTGATACATTTTGAATGAAGATGTATCATCTCACAACGCACGAGTGTACAAACTCAATTTTCGGCCGACGTGTAACTCGTCATTGCTGCGATGGTATCTCCGAAAGTAATCTACAGAATTGAATGCTCCCCACCAACAGTTGATGGAGAGCATTCAATTCTGTAGATTACCGAAAGTTTCACAGAAAGTTTCTGCGTACTTCTTCCCCGACCTAGGGTACTCATGGCGGATTCCTGTAGACTCACTTTAGCCTGTGAGTCTTGATCTAACGATCGGAACTTAGAAAGCAGCTCTCCGAAAGTCGATGACGGTACTTCTATGGTCCCTTGCTCGCTGTTCGATCTGATACAAGCAGCACATGCGAGTGTTTATCCTCAAGATTGGACTTTGCTGAAGTTTCCTTACGATCGCGAATTCGGATCATCTGAGGAGTTGACCGTCGACCGTTGGTCATGCATGATTTACAACACTCTCATACGTTCCGCATACGCGACCAGCGATATCGGGTAGGCCACCCAACGGGAACTCTACACCTTACAGTCACTGTGAAGTTCGGGTGAATCATGATGTTGGGGTTTGGGTTTCCCACTATCACCCGGGGTGATAGAGCGATAAATCCAAACACTGTGTTTGGTGATAGTGCGCATAGCCGTCACGAAAGATGTTGATTAATGCAGCTACAAATATTTCCAAGTTGCTAATGCTTACGAATCGGAAGTTCCGAGGGGCTCCACCTGAGCTAAAGTGGTGACAGTGCTCAAGAAAAGCGACTGAACTCATTCGTGACGATGCGAGCACTCCCAGCATCCCAGCACGTCCAGTACTTCGCTGAATTCTACATCAACTTTTGGCCCACTTCTCCTCGTAGTTTCGCATCAACTCATTAACTTTTCGCCCAACTTTTAGCCCACTTCTCCTCGTAGTTTCGCATCAACCCATTAACTTTTCGCCCAACTTTTGGCCCACTTTCGCCAAGTGAGAACTGCGATGTGGGGTGTGTTTCCCTTATAGAGAATACAGAAGCGTCATAATGCCATAGCCTCAGAATGTTCTTATGATAGCAGTGCTATCATAGCACATATACAGCCCTATGGTGAGCTAGGTACTACAGTCTACAGATTGGCAGAATTACGTTGCGGACCGTTACGGCTGCTCGCTTTTACGTAACGATTCAAATCCCGTACCGTAACATTACGGCGCCGTAACGGGCCAGGCCCGTCGGGTCTTATGGAGATGCAGAGGACAAAACGAGGATTGGTATTTCAAGTCGTCTGAATCTATTTCATGTGAATGCCCATCGGTAGACGAAGCCGGCTTGGCAGTTCCGGGCTAGCTCGGAAGTAAAACGGACGAAATTTGCGAAGGAGACGAGTGGTAAATGCGAAACCAAATGTTACTCTCTCAGCGGCTCGGTGAACTCGAGCCACGAAGAATGAGTTTAACAACTATTTGAGCTATGGAGGAGTGCTTTACAGTGAATGTTTCCGTCACAATTCTAACAAAGCAGTTCAACATCAACCGTAAAGTCGTAAGGCCTTTCCGTAACCGTAAACTGCTTACGTTACGAGCACCGTAAAAACGTTACGCTGCCCATCTATACTACAATCTTAAAGGTGGCAAGAGTGGCAACAATATTACACCTAGCGATGATTCTCAACCTCATACAGTACGCGAAATCTAGAGAGTGGATAGAATGTCAACGGCATAATTTGTTAATTACATCTCATAACCCTACCGGCTCTTGTTCATGACTGTTACATCGTAAAAATATTGTCGTCCGAGCCGTAACAATCAGAGGGAAAAAATGCATTTTTCTGGCTCATCTAAGCACGAAAAAGAATCGATTCATAACCTTCTTCGCCTAGTTTACTGATATCATCAACACTTGCCAGCATTTAATGGAGTTCCACCCGTTTTACGCGAAGTGAAATGTGTTTTTCACTAGTGTTTTCCACATCACGGGTGAAACTCCAATGTATTTTTCCAACAATTTTTCCGCCCTTTTCATGAACGGGTGCCACTTATGTGCTCTAACAAAGGTAACTTCCCTCATGATAAATTCCAACTTGGATACGCCTCTTCACGCACAGCGAAGATTTCAACATTTTCCAGAACCCATAAAATAACGATGAAGATCTCTATGAACTCAGTACCATCAGAACTGAACAAATCTCGAAGAACAATGACCGCGCGCCACGAAATTCCCCCAAGCATCAGCTGAATATTTCCATCTCAACTGCACGGCAAAAAAGCAGAATCCTGAGTGACTGATAACAACTCAAACCCACAGAGCGATTTATAGAGAATTTTATGGACACAGTAACATCTAGAATAAACAACAGTTGTGGGATTCGTGCCGGGGACCTCGCCAACCGACACCAGTACAAATCTTAGCCTATTTTGTATCTTGCGTGAGCACCCCAAAGATATCTTTAATATAATTCACTTTAACTATGCTGGCTCTCAATTGCGTGCACGTACGTCGCCGGCTCGGACAGCGATCTTTTCCGTAAACCCGTTTCGGAAATCGCGAATCTCGAGGACCTATGAAAACACGGCTCAGAGAGTTAACAGTTTTAATGCAAGCCTGAATGATGACCGATAATAAACATAACTTAGCAGGATGGAAAACCCTGAGGAATTCCGTTTCACTTTGAGATGTCAATTATATATATATGTTACTTTCCTCAGCTCAGGAGTTTCCAAAACTATATTATAGCAGTCCACGAACGGGTAGATATCTTTGCAAACCAGCAAGAATTTCCCCATTGTTATCAAAACACGTGTAGTTGACCATGTGCATATTTTCCTACTGTTGCCTCCTCCACCCAGGCGTTGAGGAAATGCAAGATTGCAAGTGGCCCTAGCATACCTCCTCGTAAGTGTGTAATCGTTGCCAGCAAGGCGCTGCTTTTTTTGTTGTGCAGTTGAGGCGGCAGTCGAGGGGCTATGTAGCTGATGCTCGAGGGAATTTCGTGGCGCGCGGTCATTGCTCTCCAAATCTTGTTCGAGAATTTCACTTGAACTCTGCATGGAGTAGGGGGAAAACTGAGGACAAAAAACTTGAGAATTTTTCCTCAGAATTAGACGCCTTCACATCGATCGAAATACGATATTAACACGTTATACAGCGTTACTCCGTAATTTTTTTGCAAGAAAATTCGGTAAATTTCGGGCGAATTTTTCCCATTTTTTCCATCAACTCGTAGCCTTCCAAATTGCATCTCGCAAATTTCACTACGGAACTCGCAGACGTCTACTTTCACGACAGATATTCAGATTCGAGAAAAAGCCAATTCCACAAAACTAATAATTTTATTGTTATTTTTCTCTCCTCAGATTTTACCGAGGAAAATATTTTCGTAAAAATACAATCAATTCGATAAAATTTCCACAAAATTCCCGCAAAAAAAATTTGGGAAAAGTTGCATCTACACTATTCAAGACGTTAATGACCTCATCTGCCACAACAGCATCCGCCTCGTCTCGATCTATTTCAAACTCCAAAGCTTTTTCTTTCGACTCGTCATCAGGTCCGCAGCACCACTGCAGTAAATGGCTGAGCCAACTCATATTTAGGAAAAGCAAAAAAGAAAAAGATTTGAGAAATATTTCCGAATATGAACATGGAATTTTCTCGAGATGAAGTGTGAAAAATTTGTGATGAAAAATTCGGTAACGATTCTTCACGTAACTACGCAGAAACGGTGTTAGGTATTTAACATAGTTTACTAATAATGAAGTTTCACCCGTTTTACGCGGAGTGAAATGTGAGATGTGTTTTTACTAGCGTTTTTCATTTCACTGGTGAAACTCCAATAAAAGAATAATGTGTAATATATCTACGACATATATTGGAATTTTACCCTAGTGATATGAAAAACACTAGTAAAAACCATATTTCACGACCACAGCATATCACCGCGAATATCGCGCTTTTCACCAAGTTTTACGCCACTCCACGTAAAACGGATTAAACTCCATTATATAACTTACTAATTTATATATCTATTGTTAACAGCCGATATACAATGGAGTTTCACCCTAGTGATATGAAAAAAACACTAGTGAAAAATGGATTTCACGACTACTGCATAGCGTCAATATCGCGTCCTCCACAGAGTATTACGCCACTTCACATAAAACCTATAATGAACAAGAACCCTTCCGAGCTCAGTTGAGGAAGGCGAACATATATTCCTCCAACACTGCAAACGATGAACTTGATATCGCTAATTACAAAAAATCCCAACAAACGAATGCACGCCACACTAAAACTCGCGTACACAAATCCAATAGAGATCAGAAACACATCTACACATAATGATAAAAACATCATGACCTAGGAAAATCTTTCGTCACCTGAAAGATGATGCAAACAGCAAAAATTTCACGAGTTGTTTACGAGATCGTCAAGTAACAGTGTCATCTCTGGGTGGGCAACTCGAATGAGGATCTTCCCGGTTTCAGCAATATCGTTGTTCACACATTCCCACCATTCCTTCACACGATATCTGAACACAAACAAGTTTCACAACCCGTTTTACGCGAAGTGGCGTAAAACTCGGTGTAGAACGCGATATTCGCGATGATATACAGTAGTCGTGAAATATGTTTTTCACTAATGTTCTTCATATCACTAGGGTGGTGAAACTCCAAAGAATTTACAAACCTTTGAAGTGTGCGAGATCACCGCCGACAATTCGCCTCAGCTGAGCTAGACTAGCACATACGTAAAGTCGTCAATGAATCAAATACGAATAAACTCATAAACCATTAATTTCCTGGCCGTACCACAACAGAGTGAAATGCCTCCGAAACTCATGAAGCCTCCCTATGAACAAACTATCCCCTTACAATTGATTATAGTTATCAACTTCCTCCAGTGCTCCATTAGCCACTTCCACGTTAAGCAAGGCAGCAACGTGAGCCCATATATCGATCGATACCCCTTCCTCTGAGCTCAA